GTAGTTGATCGTTTCCATGGTTACGATTTGATTGCAGCCTTATTGACAATTTTGAATGAATGCAGGGCATGCATAATTGATCTTCGCGCGGCAGTATGAAAACACTTTCTCCGCACAAAAGATCCTTTTAACACATTATATATGCGCATGGAGATGGCTATAGGATATAGCCTTGTACTTTTAGAACACAGTGGGGGGAACATTAATTGAGATAATGACGATGGATTCCCTCTTTGATCGATTTAATTTGGACACGTGCATGTTAGGTAGCAATATGCAGAACTGCTTCATCGCTTGCGAGGTCATGAGAGAGGGGTCGAGATTGGGTCATTGTGGGAGTGGATGGGACCCTGGCGCCAGGGCGCATCAGGTCCCGAGCTTCGCGCATTCGATAATATTTTTGCTGCTACATGGAGAACAACAATCTAGTTGTATCTCGGTTCGAGAAAGTACGGGAAGCCGTGTGCATTTGTGCCGTAGGCCATTCAGATATATGGAATATTTGATGGGCCATGAATATATTATTTTTTATTCTAAATATTTACATTTTCCGTGGACTGCTTTCTGAACAGGAAGGTTCCGATATGTAGGTATAATCAACTGTTCTGCGATGCAGTGGCCGAGCAGTGATTGTGATGAGAAGACAAATACGCCATGCCTGCAACAGGACTCATAACGCTAGAAACAAGTCGCGCATTTTACCGCACTCGGTATTCCGCCGATAAATACAAGTCTAAACCGTTCGAAACTCAACCACTTCATGACATGACTCAGCTGCTGCATATAGGACTAAAATAGTTCCATCGCCGCTGAAAGACTCGATGAAATGAAATATATCATGCGGTATACCTCGTTCTGAAGGAATAAAAGCTCGAGGACAAACGCTTTACCGGCTATTCTTTCAAAGAAATTTAATCAAGTCAAAATCATATGAAAGAAGGAATACGTTGGTCTAAAATGATTTGAAAATATATCATCGAGCATTCCTCACTCGGATGAAAGAACTGAATTTATTCATAAGTATCAGTTGAGGCAGACCGTCCACTTGGAGGCAGGATTTCAATCGAGTCGAAGGTCAGAAACGCCCTGAGGTACAACCCCTCAAGGCGTATACAGTCAATATTCGATATCCAACACGATGGGTCAGACGAATGCATCCATGCTATCTTATCATGAGATGCCATCACGCTGAGTGTCATCTCGTCATGTCAGGATGGCTGAGGCATGAATGAATTATGACGTGGATGTGTAACGCAATTTTCTGAAGTTCGTATGGCTATGGAATGAGACATGTTTCTGGCGTGACAAACTTTCCTGGCCATTAGGAGACATTTCAACTGGAACGATTGCCGGTCAAGTAACAGAATGGTATAAACTGAGTCTTCGTATGGACTCTTGTAGAACTTGCTCTCGCATCAGAACTCGATTAATCTCAAATCAGCTTCTTTCCCTTTAGGTTTCGTAGTGAGCAGTATACAATGTATTTTGCACGCGAAACTTTCCGTCTGCATCTTTCTCTCTCATTCTCCCTATCCCTTTCGCTCTTTTCATCCCTACAGGAAAGGCTTTACGAGAAGAATGGAGGCTTCCATCAGGAAAGGCCTTGGTCTTCGACCATTAGGAAAGGCGTTGTCTGATTTACTCGTGCCAACTTGCGGTCGGAATTCGTAGTTTTGGGAAGTTTTGGGTGGGGGTTGCTTTGTGTACCTCGGTGAGGGTTATTAAATGTAACCTAGTTCAATGACATTCCTAGGGCTTTGGAAGTTTCAACGCATTGCAACGTTTGCCCTATCGTGCCCTTGCGGGAAGAGATCTCTTCCATAAAGTTCAGCGGCGTCATTTTCTCACGAACGGATATGCACAACCAAAGTATATTAATTCGGATTTCAGGTTATATAGACTCGAAACACAAACGGGTTCGAAAAAGACGAATTTCCAAGAAACTCAAGCTTCCGAATCAAACATTCCATCAACTGCCAGAGCTCTCAAAACCCATCACTAACATTCAATACACACAAGAATCACTAATGAGGTGAAGGGCCTCCGGATTGGGGGACTAAGGAAAGGAGAGGTGGAACTGGAGCAGTGCGACGAAGAAGGTGGACAGGTTCACCAACGTCTACAAAAAAAAATATCAGAGATGTCAGTCTCTCCACATCCATTTCTTCTGTTTTTAAACATTAATCATTATCAGCATTTAAACATTATCAGCATTAATGATCACCCAAACGTTCTTCCTGCAAAGGATGAAGACTGATTTACGAACTGGAATTGAACAAAAGTTTGTCAAATTAGCAGTTACCTCAATGACAAGCACTCCTTTTGCTCTTCTTGGGTCATTCAATGGAGATTAACACTTTTTCCTTAATTTTTTGCGCCAACCAAGACTCAATTGGAATTGATTATGGCGACTTATATTACGTAGAAGAAATTAACGAGGAAAATGCAGTTGCAAAGTCCATGAAGCCTCACCCCCGACGATGTGCGGATTTCCGCAATTTGAGTCCACTTTTTATTCTCCAGAGGGAACTTCTCAGGCCCCTTTTCTGTTGTAAAAATAGTGTCACGGATGGCCTCGCTTCTTCGGAAAAACTAGCAACGCTTGCTCGAGCAAACCAGGTCGATGATGTGCAAGAAGGTGCGAGACTCCAATTCAGATGCGGACGATTCTTTCGATTTTGGATCGAGTACGGTCAACCTAGGCTGTTCTGCGAAGTGAGACACCTGTCCTTGGATTGGGATGGGATGATCCAACTGTGATTCTCAATCGCAGGGTAGTGGGCTCGAACCCAAGGTTCTGCGTAGTTCAATGCATGGTAACTATGATTTTTCTCCGTGCCCTTGCGATCACATCTTCTTCTGAAGTCAGGCAAGACGATTATGGCTTTCGCACTATAAACAGACTAAAACGGGAGGAACTCATGAAACTATGCAGTTTTTCGCTTGAAAAGCATAGAGCCTCAGGAATAATAATGAAAATAAGATTTTCAAGAAAGTTGTTTGAAACGTGTGTTCAGATGGAACAAACCAGTATTTTAGACCTCATGGATTAAAAACATTCTGTGGTAAGGGACATCGAAGGCATCTTAAGCGTTGAAGAATAACCTATGAGTAAGCGTTTAGGTCCGCAAAACATATCCCATACAAAATATCACTTCTTTACTTAACAGGTTGAGAGGTTCATGACAGGAACTTGTATTAAGGCATAAAAAGTCAATTAGTACTGGGAATAGTCCATTTCGGTGTGGTACACGTGTAACGGTGAGGTTGCTATCACAAAAAATTCAAAAACTCGTAAATTCTTATTTATCTTATAGTGATGCGGAAGATAAAACTGATCACAAGACTTTTCTGAAGAAAAAGGAGAAATTCACTGAGCGGGCAAAATCAAATGTAAAAAATAAGGGGAGGAAGTGTATATTGGATGAGGTGCCACCACATTTTTGTTTCAATTTTTTCTTTTGGTTCTTGCCTTTTTGGCTTTTGCAAACGTTTCGGCGACGTTTCAAACAAGGTTTATTTGTCCTACGGAATTCGGCAGAAATAGAAAGATGAAACTCGGCACACCAATAACTGAGGAGATTCAGAAAAAATTCAAGCTTTGTGGTGCATACCCTCAGGGCACGGCTTTTGGCTGCATCGGCCTATCCGAATATATTTGTGCACCAGCAAAAAGAGCAAATGGATAAAACTGAAACATGGTACGAGATGTATCTGGTTCTCAAAGTATTGATTTCTTAAATAAAAAAAGACTGTTATTTTTTTTGTAAAATCCCTCAGGACCCTTTTTTTTGCAAAAGGCGCATTTTCCGGAATCCGTACTGATCCAATGAAAGAGGAAACTAAAGTGGTTCAGAAGTACCTGTTTGCTTAATGCGATCCTACTTTTCAAATATGATCCGCCTGGGAGATTATGAAGAGATTTGGAGTTATGCACACAAGAAACAATCAGAGTAATTATTTCGATAAAAAATATCGGCTTGTTCTTCTCGATACACATTTCGAGAGCAAATACTTTCAATGCGTTTTTGCCACCTTGAAAATAACTTAATGAGTGAATCACTATATTGGACAATGGAGCGCTGGAGCCGCGACCATAGCGAATCTGCTTGCCCTTCGTGTAAACAAACTCGCTAGTTATTATTTACACAGGCACTTCATTCCGATTGCGAACACTTGATATTACCAGGACGGATGGAAGGATGTGCGAGCGAAATTTCAGCATTCTACAATCATTCTTAATGCCTTATGGTATAAACATTTAAATTGCCCTTGCAGTACCTATGCCCTTATTGTACCGTGAAACACATCCAAGTATCCCCTAGAAGCAACACCAAATAAATTTCTGCATGAAAAACCTTTAATCTCAACTAATGATTTGTTCATAAGAAATTATAATTTCCCCCGTTCAGATGCAGAAAATTGTCAAGAAAACCCTCCACCCATGGCGATGAGTTCAATGAAAGATGGAAAGCGTTCTAGTGAAAACATTTTCAAGTACCAGCAAGTGGATATGATAATTTACGCGTACCTACGCTAGTTACCCATAATACCCTACATCTAGTTTAAAATACTTGCAAGGAGTTCGAGCTCCCAAAATCCATATTTGTGTTACATGTTTCTTGCCCACTAGGTGTCTCACACTGAGAAAGATATCAACTCCATTTTATGTCATCGATTTCGAGTCCGTGAACCATTTCGTCCGAGGAATAGAAATACTCATGACATGAGACATGGCATTGCGAGATGGACGGTGCTGAAGATGGGGCATTAAATGGAAGGGAAACAAATGACCATCATTCAATAGCGTCTTCTCGTCTCCACGAATGAAGGATATTGTTCGTTCCATGCGATGCATTGGCCTGAGAAACATGCAGGTGAGATCCAACGGCACGCGTAGAGAGAGAGTCGCGACGATTCGATTAGTGATTGGAGACTTGGATGATCTTCTTTCTGCAATAAAGCAATTTGCAGCGGATGCGTGAACAAGCCCCGTCGACCTAGTCGAAGATGGTGACGATGGAAACGCCGAGACATATTCCAACGATTCCCCCGATGTCGGAGAGGAGCTCTAGGATGGTCGCCTTTTCTTGTTCCACGAAGGTAGACACCTATCAGGATACAAAGGAATCGATTCGAACTCGTTTGTTACCCTGATAAGGACAAATTAGGGGTTAATGAGGGAAAGGAAGATGGGACGAACCCGACGCGAGGGAAAGTTGAAGAAGAGAGTGGCAGACCCGGTATTACGAGAAAACTCAGACCCCTTGAAACCGTTCGAGTTTGGATCGGGGATGATGTAATGGATGGACCTGTGACACCTCTTTGGACAACTGCAATTCTTTCCTATCTCGGATTCAGGATCCATGAAAAATTTTCTGGCTTTCTCCAGTTCCTCGAGCAGCCCGTTGCTACTATCGGGATCTAAACATACAGGCTTCGTCAGGTTGACCTCCTTGGTGATGAGGATGGGGTCGAGACACGGCAGTTGTGGACGGGACTGGACCCATCCCCAGAAGCAGTTCTCCATACACTATATAAATAGATAAGTATCAGCTCCGTCAGCGTGGACATAAAGAAGTTCCTTCAGGATACCCAAAGCATCTTTTAACGCATCTTATCGTCTGCTTGCTTTCGCTCACCCTGACGTAGCTATGGCCTTTATCCATGGTGCAGGGCCTTCTCCGCTTCTTCAGTTTCCTGGCGTAGTCTGAACGAATGAAGAGATTGGAGATGTTGTTCTTGAATACGAATGCGTTTTCGATCGCCATTAGGCCCAGATTGCTAAATTTCTCCACTTGTTCGTGGATGTAAATTTCGACTAGTGAGGGAATCTGCCAAGGAACCATATGCAAGATCATTTCCCCTGAATTCCCGAAGCCAACGTCCCCTTGTATGCAATTCAACGGAATGCTCCCCACCTCTTCGTGCATGGACTTCGAGATCGACGTGAAATCGAAGATGAAATACATGGAATTATAGACGCGGTTGGTCGTCCCAGCGGGCATTTCGTCTCTCAAGGCCAGCGTGAAGCACTTGAAGATCTCTGGAGGCTTTCGCACGTCGCCAACCTCCCAGAAGGTCCGCTCGCTAAAATTCCTCAAAGAAGTACTACTCGGAAGAATAACAAGCAGAAGTACCGGGCGTTGCCTGAGAAAAACTCAACATATCAATATTTCATGCATTCCAAATTAGGGAACGTTGGCCTTATGGTTTCCTATAAGTTAAATATCTTGGGTGTCGGAAAATACATTCGGTCCCCTTCCCCTTTCACTCTAATTTTTTTTTCTTTGGAGGGGGGGGGGGGGTTTAGGCATTGAAAAAAAAGTTAATATTCTTTGTAGTTTTATTTTTATTTTTCGTTTTGCGGGCTTCTTTGAGACCCACGGTTGACATTGAAACGCACAAAGCCATTGCAAAGCTTGCAAAGCAACTCACCACGCAAAGCCTTTTGGCATTCCCCCAAGGGGCAAAGACACAGAGATTCCATCTGGTTGCAACTCGCGACCACGCCACCCGAGAGACGCAAGGAGCCGCCAGGTCGACGCCTGCGACCTCAAGCGACTGAGCCTCACCGATCGACATTGCGAAGGCAAGACCACGGTATGAATCCATCCCGACCCTCCGCGCAGCCCGTCAGGATTGTCGCGTCAATGACATCAGACTTTTTCCACATGATCTTCTGTCAATGCACAGTCTTCGTGCATCCAGATTCCTCAGGCTCCTCCCGGCTGCTGTTGTCGAATCAGCAAGTCGATGGCATTCGCGCTGTTATTTTAAGGGGCAAGAATGGCACGTTCACAAAGCCATTCGTGAACGTGCCATACATCGCAAAAGCTGTTTGAAACGCTGATGAGCCCAAAAGTCTCCATATTTGATTTTTTTGTATTAGAAACTATTTCCCAATGAATATTCCAGACGTTTCCCAAACAATTTTCACACCGTCCTTTCATCATTTAACAGTCATCGTTCAGCATTCGACATGAATTGATTCTTGCTTCCCCATGAATCAAATACCGTGCTGTTCGCCGTTGAAGCGCATTTCCATTCTTCTCATAGGTCGAAAGAATCACGTGAATCTGCATTTATTAATTTCTGAGACGAACCATACGTTTCAGATTTGATGTTTGTATTGAACTTATTTGATATTCATTTCTAAATCTATGAGCTTATTGTAATGGTCTGAACTCATTACAAGGAAGAAAACTCAGGTGTCACACGAACATTATGCATTATCATCAAGCACAATAAAGTGTGCCAATGAATGATACAACATGTAATCCCAAGAGATGGCCTTTCTCATCGTGACTTTTCAGACTCGATGATAGCATCCGAGACAAAACATGCTTATCCGCACCCTTGCGTGCATGCTATATGAATATTTGGAGAAACGTTATAGCATGCAAGATAAGGGCGTGGAGCGTTAGCAAGCTTGTTCCCTGGGAATGACGGGGGTTTATTTAATTTCATTGAACTTCATTGTGTCGAAACAACACTCATTGCAAGATTCCCCCCCTCCCCAAGTATTTTTCTTTGCATTTAACGTTTGGCAATTAACCACCGGTGTTTAATCGAGGAAAGGCCTACATTTATGAATGTAAATTATTTTCTTCTTTATTTTACTTGTCTGAACTCATTTTGTCATGATAAGTATGTCAGTGAGAGGGACGAGGGAATGTCCTGGGTTCGGTGATGTAAAGAAAGCCCACCTGACCGGTAATCAGGAGGCCCGGGTTCAATTCCCGGCCGTCCCCAGCTTTCCTTCGTCCTCTCCTCCATCCAATCTTCCCACCCGGCCATTCTCATGACAATTACAAGGAACAAAATTCCGGTGATACATGAACATTATGTATTGTAATCAAGCACAATAAACTGTGCGAATGCGTGTAAAACATCACAACAGTTTTTTTTAAGAGTGAAGTGAAAATTGCAAAGCACCTAATGGCACACAATCTCCTTTCAGTATCATAATGCATAAATTAGTCAAACAAGTAAATTATTTCAATTGTTAACGCGAATAATCCCAGTTCAATAAGATCATTGCAAGTTTCATTCTTGTCAATTATTGTATAAACAGTCATTCCCTGAAATTATTTTAGCAAAGGACTTCCATCAGAGTTACCATTTTACCGGAGTTCCAATATTGACGTGAATCACTACCATTAAGCCTCCTTGACACTATTTTTTCCAAACTTCTTGTAAATAGTTGCGGGCCAGCATTGCAATGGACTTGCATTCGGCCGAGTGCTCCTTTCATCTGGCACAACAAATCCTCCAGAGAGTGTGCGGATTCATCGAAATCCCGGAAAGTCTCGTACACGGCTTTAAAAGTGGGGAAGACCCTGTTTACGAAAGCGCAAGTGCATCCGTGGAGCACGAAGATGCCCTTCGAGACGGCCTCGTGGCACTGATTCCGGACGTATGCGCAATGTCCCCGCTGGTAGTTTCAGTTGCACGTGAGATCCAGCACCGCCTCGGGTCGATCGTGGATGAATATGTTGATGATATCCTGGTCGATGAGAAAAATCGCCCACTTGTTCCGGACGTAGATGTCGACGGCCTCGAATACGAAATCGGCCCGTCTCATGCGAGTGAGATTGAGAAGCAGGAGGCCCGCATTCAATCCCATCGGCCCCCGAGCCGGCAGGGGAGTCATGGAGTAATACGCGAGGCAACTGCCCTTCTCGTTGTCTTGCGCCGCCCCGGTGTACATCCGTCCGTCCATGCTCCGGAAGTGACTCCACAACTCTTCGATGGGCGCGAGGAAAAGAAAATCCAAGTCGGTGTACACCACGGCATCCACATCGTGCAAGATGGAGGGCGTGAACAGTCTCGCAGTCGAACACGGCTTGAACATCCTCTTCCAATCCAAGGCTGGCTCCGACGGGTAACTCACCCGACGGAATTCGATGGAGACCCTCTCGGGCAGCATCCGCCTCGCCCTCGACGCCGCGCTGCATTTCCCCTCCACATCCGCGATCGCGATGATGTGGAACGCCTCATTCGACGTGACGATGAGGAACCGGATCCACGTGAGCAGAAGGTCCTGGTGTCTGCTTCCACAGATCGCGGTCACGATTTTCATCTCCTTCGTCGCTCCCTCTTTCGAGATGTTGCTCGCGAAAGGCTCATCGCAGTCGACAGTCGTTCCCTTTTCGGGCTGGAATCGTAGATGGAAAAATAAAACCACCACGGTGAAGGCTATTACAGACGTGATAGCTCCCAGCACTTTCTTCGCCGTCATCGCGATCTTCAACGGGAGACAGGGCGCCTGAAACTGGAACGACGTTCAGAGGCTTGATTCCAAAATTTTTTGCTGATGTTATAGGAAATCCAAAGAGATTGCCTTTCTCATCGTGTCTGATGGCATTCGAGACCATGCATGGTCAGGTTAAGACCGAGTGACAGATGTCTGAAGTGCATGTCACAGTTGTTCATCTTTTGTTTTTTTTTTAAATTTTTTTTTTGAGACAGCTATTATTCTCAGACCAATCTAGTTATATATATATTTTTTTAGTACTGTTGTCCTCATTACAGAAGATAAGTATTCATTTCAAAGTTGTCACATTTCTTCCCGTCATGGGGCGTCATTGGCAAACCGACAGTCTTAAGGGAATCTTTAGTCGATTTCGCTGTTCGTGGGCGAGGTCACTCGGGTGTCCCCATTGCCGACTGTCAATATCTCGTGCAAACAGAAGTAAATGGCGGAATTTAAAGAGGAAGACATTCGTCACTTATTTAGATATAGCAGCTAATATATATTGGATGATTGTGACAGACTGGCGCTCATTCGAACCACGTTCTAGAGAAGCTGGAAATCCGAAACTTCTTACGCAAGTACTTTTTGTGATGTTCAGAAAAAGTCCGACTTTGCAGGTACATGCCCTTGGGGCATCTGTTTTGTGGGAGATGATCTCAAAGAGATATTTTTCCTTCTGTCAAACAAAGAGACGTGGAAAGCTGAAACTTGACAAGCGCTACTATGACACTGTTCAAGAAAAATGTCATGTTTCAGATACATGCCCTGAGGGCATATTTTTAGGGTGTGATGCTCTCAAATATTCTTTTTTTCCTATCGAATTGGGCAGAAGTAGAAAGGTGAAACCTGACACATCCGTAATCGAGTTGATGCTGAATTCAGAAAAAAAACTAATTTCTTGTGGTATATCCCCTCAGGGCATAACTGTTCTGTGAGTCAGCTTTTCCAAAGATATTTTTCCACCGGCCGAAAAGGGCAAACATAAAAGCCTGAAATTTGGTTGGCCCAAAGTTTTCCAAGTACTGATCTCAGTAAAAAAAATAAAAAAATAATGCTTCATAGATAAAACTCCTCAGGGCATTTTTTTAAGGCAAAAGGTGTATTTTCCCGAGCAGAAGTACCTATTCGATTGCTGAGAGCAGGTCCTACTTTTCACATTTGTTTCCCCTCAGGGTATGTATAAAGGGATTTGAAGTTACGTGCAGAAAATGAAATTGGAGGAATTATTTCCTTGAAAATATCGGTTCGTCCTCTTATGGCACTCGTTTCGACGGGAGCGTACTTTTAATTCATTTATGCCAAATCGAAAATAAATAAATGAATGAATCACTTCCCTGGACAACAGAATTGATGAAAACATTCCTTCCCAAAAGTTTATTTTTGGCATAAAAATATATTTCACCGAATTTATTCGGTGAAATATACCGAAGGTTATTTACGAATTTGGAGATTGAAATGCATCACGCAATTCCTGGCACCATTTTTCTTCTCCACAGGATATGCGAATTATTTGCGGAAAAAAAAATATCAGCGACACAAGCGAAGTGGCGTGGACTGATCCATTCGATGCATCGATTAAATCGGCAAAATGGAAAAGAAAGAGAGAACGCGACGTTTCCGCGATGTTGCACGGACGTCAGTTATTTATATTTACCACTTACCATTACCTCTTCAGATCCCAGCCCCCTAATCGCTTTGATATGGTTTATCATTTGTGAAAAATATTGGCCTTCATCCCGGACAGCAAATGACATTCGAATATTTAATGATTTAATAATGTTTTAATGTTTTGCTATAGTCGAGGGAGTTTATTTGAGGAAAGGCCAACATTCATGTGTCAGTTTATTTTATAAAAAAATTAGTTTACTTAATTTTTCGATGGGCGTTTAACTTTACGATAACCGCGAGCGGTAGGATGAAAGATGTAGCTTCCTAGCCATTTTACTTTAACGCCTGATTGTGTTCTGTTTTTTATTATTTCCTATGATACTTTTACAAAAACTAACAGAAATGGTTCACAACATGTATTCAGGTGGTAAGAATAATTTATGTAAGGGTCCAAGGAATAATTAAAAATACCAAAAGAGGTAATGCAGGTCAGTGGGGCCAAGAGGTGGCGCACCTCTGGGCTGGGGAGACCCAGTGCGCCCTGTCTGGTTCGCAAATATCTAGTTCATAAAATATCCAACGATAGCGACCTATTTCAACGTTTTTGTGACGTCGTTCTCTAACGTCGATCTTTTTTGAGACATTGCGTTGTTCCATGGACGCTATAATTCGAATTTGCATGAAGGTTCCAACGTGACGAAACAACGTGCCTGTAAAGTTACTTTGACGTCACGCGTTGCTTTGTCAGGTCCCAGTCTCGAGTCCACACGGGTGCGACTCCGATCGCAAGGAAGATAAATCATGACGAGACGGTAAAAATGGAGCAAATAGGAATCGCCTGAGTTGTCAGGAAGGAAGAATCAGGAAAAAAATCTTTCCTGTTGATCCTCTCTAGAGAGGCTTACGTCGACCACGAATATGTCGCAAACAGTCACAGGCATCCGACTCCGGGAAATTTCTTTTGCAAACATTTCCATCTGAGGGGCATGGAGAAAATATGTTCGGTGAAGTCCGCATTTTTGACCGGATTTTGACATTTGACATTTTTCACGGGAATTCTAATTGAATTCGTTTCCATCGGCTGGATTGGAGGCGTCCGCTGCGCTGGTCATCTTCAAGGGATGGTGGCTAATGATCCTTCCTGTGAATCCTCCTTCCTGTGAAGCGGTGGGGATTCTCGAAGGCTCATGCAAATCGATTGAGGCAATCGAAACTCGCTGCGATCCCAACCGCGAGGGATGAAAACAAGGCCTCTTCGAGGTAGGAAAGAAAATGCATAAGGCAAAAGGTCAACCCGATCGGAAAATGAAGTCACAAAGGACAAGGAAGTTGGAAGGCCCGCGATCGTCAATACGAGCACGAAAACTTCGTGCGCAATGACGAAAAAACTCGGAATTCTCCGAGAAATTTCCGAAATTCTCCCTCATTGAAGTCGATGTCTCCGCTTCGTAAAAGGCGTTGAGTAACGCCCCAATCCATGATGAATGACTTTACTTTTCTGAAAATCATATAGAAATTGAATAAGACGTGTTTCTGGCGTGATAAACTTGACTGGCCTGTAAGAGTCATTCCAACGGGAACGATTGTAAGTCAGGTCACTGAACGGTATTGTGGCGGTAGCCGAGTGTGGCTTTTTGTTGTTGTTGGGAGCCGAGTTGGGAGTCCTGCATTTGACCGAGTTTCGGAAGATTCCGAATGATTGGGGATCGTCGAATATCAGAACAAGGCCCTCGCGGGTTTATTTAATAAGCTTTACATAGCAATAAGAATAAGGATATAGAGGTACTTACAAATAGGAGGAGGTCGCACGAAAATTTACTGCTGCTCGCGAAGAAGCATGACCAATCCACCTCGCAGATAAAACATGGCATGGGAGGAGGGCCAACATACAATTTCTCCACAGTATAACCTGCGTCTTCGTCTCGACTCTAGT